ATAAAGATAAATAAGATAAGTTAGTTTGAAGTTAACTTTGAAAGTTAGATTAAAAAAAAAAGCTCCAGAGAAATAGGAAAAATACATATATTCAAAAATTAAATAAAATAAACAAGCTAGATTAGTTTAAAGTTAACATTGAAAATTAGTTGAAAAAAATCAGAATAGAAAAAAATAAATAAAATATAAAAAATAAATAAGCCAAGTTAAGTTTAAAGTTCAGGAAGTGAAAGTCAGAGTAAGTTAGGATACGTCCTGTATCTTAGTCTCTACCTGCCAATAAAACCCCCTTTTTATTGATTATTTCTTTATTATTTCTTTATTTTTCCATCTCTCTTATATAATGCATTTGTTTTATTGCTATGTGTAATTATCTGCAGTATTTATTAAGGAGTTATCGTAGGTTTTTGGAACAAATTATAGGAATAACAATGTATTCTGATAAGAAAATCTGAACCAACATACCAATATTTTAACATATGAAGTCGGTCGTGGAATTAATTAGATTGGTATGTAGAGGTTCACTGTAATAATAATAAGAATAATAATAATAATGAACGTTATTTTACAGATCGCCTTTAAAACCGTATCAGTGCAGATGTTGTTGCCTCCGCCGGCCACCAGGGGGCCCCCGAGCAGAGCAGCTTATGCAACACAACGATTTTTATGCCACACAAACAAAGCAAAACTGCCATTTTTGCTTTTTTCGAGTTTACAAATCCGTCCTGTGCTTCCACAGTCTGACAGCAGAGTCTGGACTCACATTCCTGTTTTGGAGAGTCAGTTTAAGATCAGATGTCAGTGTGACTGGACGTGGGGGGGGGGGGCCATCAGAGTCCGGGGGGGGGGCTCAGAAACCTAAATGGCTGTAACTGTATGACGACAGCTTTTTTTTTCCAGAAACTAGTCGGAAACCCCCTAAAAGCCTCTGAAAGCCCAGAATGAGCCCCCAAAGACCAGGGGCAGAACATGGGAACCTGCTGGTGGGGGTGTGTGTGTGTGTGTGTGTGTGTGT